AAATAGCGAGATTGTAAATTTGCATTTAAATCTTCCTGTATTTATAAATTTAATTTTCGTCGAAGTCGTCTTTTGTTCATGAGCGGCTTCGTCGATCGGAATTGGATCTCAGCAAAGTATTGCTGAATAATTGATTGTTTAGGTTTTTAAGCGAAAGTTTGGACCTCGCTTATTTTTTTGTTTCAAATTATTAATAATTGTAAAGAAATTTATACTTTATGTTTATTTAATATATTTTTTTATTATATATATATAAACTGTTATATTATATAGACGCTAAACTGATTTATCTTACTTGAAGAATTTTAGATCTCTTTCGACTAACGAACCGTTCTGTGACTCGATCATGGGCAGTCAAATCAGAAGATGGATTGTGTATCTTGAAATGAGATGAAAATTACGAAAGTGAGCAAACATTTACTAGAATACGTATAACTGGCATTGGTCAACACCTAGTAATTTACTCACGTTTGTTTTTTCACATGATACACATTCGAATCTCAACTGCTAATGTCTCAACTCTTTTAAATTCGACGAATGAAAAACCGTTTTGTCTCTTGAGTTTCGACACGCATTGAAAATCGCATTACACCTCCTCGGCATGTAAACAAACTTCAAAACGCGCGATTGCATACGAGTTGACGCGAGTGCAAATGTGATAAAACGTGATCAAACGTGATCGTGCGTTTTGAGACCTTTTACGGATATTATACGATTATTGGAGGTTATACGCACAAAACGAGCCGACCATGAATTTGAACGGGTTAAAGCTGTTAAAGAAACCGTAAGTTTATATTAAAAAATAAATATATTCTCATGAGGTCGGAGAAGATTTCACGTAACCTTGAAATGACTTTTGAGTCAACGACAGCTCAACACGCCAAACAATACAATTATATTGTTGTAGCAATATTCCTCTAATTTCTCTCTTTGTATTTACAGCGACCCGCAATCTGCATATCCACAGGGAGTGCGATGCCAAAAGTGTCTGGAGATGGGACACTGGAGTTACGAGTGCAAAGGCAAGAGGAAGTACCTGCATAGATCTTCTCGCACTTCGCAGTTGAAGAAGGCTATGATAAAGCAAGAGAATGGTGATGAGTACGTCATTTAAGTTCCTCTATTATATACACAGGACATATCTTATCTAATCACATCCTCTAGACTTTAGAGCAAGGAAAATATATCTCGACTTATCGAGGATGTTTAGTAAACTAGACTTGTTCTCTGTGTAGAATATATAAACAAAGAGAATATATTAGACAGCTTTTAAAACTTTAATCTTTAATATGGAATAAAATATTTATAGTTAAAATAAAGAAAGTTTTCTAATAAAAGATACAATTGACACAGACGAATATTTCCTTGAAATTCCTAAGAAATTTATAGTGAATCATATCTTTGTTTAATATTAATAAATAATAAGGATGTAACAATTCACTGTATTCATTAGGCCTGGTCTTTTTAGCTAAATTATTTGCAAAAGAATATGTTTTCTTTCTTTTTTTTTTCTTAACATGAAAAGAAAAAAGGAAATATAAACTAATGAGAAGAAGATAAATCATTACAATTATTATTATTAAACAAGGATAGAATGATTTATTCTGTATGTGTCATCTGTGTCTCTTGCTGAAAAATGATCAAACTGAGGAAGATTTTAATGTATTATTGTTGTGCTTCAGTCAAAAGCAAGATAAGGAAACAAAGTATCATCACAACAGCAAGAAAATAAAGATGGAGGAATTCAGCATTTCAAGCAACTGGAGCAGTTGTAGCACCTCCAGTAGTGATAGCAGTATGAGTAGTAGTAGTAGTAGTAGCAGCAACAGCAGCAGCAGCAGCAGCAACAGCAGTGGTAGTAGTAGTTCCTCAGACAGCGAATCGGATTCTAGCGATAGTGTGTCGAGTAGCAGCAATAGCAGTACTAGTACTAGTAACAGCAGTCATAGTTCCTACAAAAAGAAATAACATAGATGCTATTGAGTGAAGAGAGAAGTTGTAAAGAAATTTCTTTTTGTTTGTTTCTAGCTTTTGACAAAATATCATTGTTTTTTCTAATAAATGCAATGCCATTTTACTTTTAAGCAGAATAATTCAAGAGAGGAAAGAATAAATTGAATTTTGCGACAAAATTGTTTATGCTTTTGGAAAAGTACACGTGTAAATCGATAAATATTTTTATTTTAACATAGAAAATGTCTTTGCTTAAAATGAAAATTTCAATAATTAATCTTTTTTTTTTTAATTTTATACTCTATCACGCGTTAAGATAATTCATTATATTTATATTATTTAGTTTTTCTATGATATATGATTAATTTGTTATATTTCTGCTATTTGCGATATAAGAATCTTATTAGACTGTACATGTCAGAACATGCTGTTTAGTTTTTTTATGATGTGTAATACAGATATGTGATCGTTTGATCTTGTTTAACAAGGATAATCTATAGGCCTGTTCTTTTTACCGAACTGGTACACAGAGTGCAATAAGTTGAAGTGAAACAGATATACGTTTGTTTCATTTCAACTTATTGCACTGTATGTACCAGTTCAGACAGTGCAGGCAAAAAGAACAGGCCTAATGCATCACCCATGTGTAATAGGCCTTCTACAATAAGTCATTACCTAAGTTTTAAGTATTTAGTCATAAGAAATTGATCAATCACAATCAAATGTGAGAAGAATAATCGACTGTGAGTGGTCAATTTCTTATGACTTAATACTTAAAACTTAGGTAATGGCTTATTGTAGAAGGCCTATAAAACGGAATACAGCCTAATATCTTATTATATGAGAACATTTTCTTTATGATATGCGAAATTCGTATTGGGTTAATAATAACCATCATTTCTTTCATAAGGACTTTAAAATATTTTACATTAAATATAAATGTGAAATCAATTGCTAGTTGTTGTATAGAATTGATATTTAAATAGAATGTATTAATTTTGTGCTGTTATATGCACATAGATGTATAATAGAAACAATTGTTTGATTTATTAGAAACGTAATATATTTAATAATACATCACAATAATTAAATTAGTATAATGATATTTAATGACATAAAAAATGTTAATTAGCACTGTCATTTTATGTTAATGTATCGACAAAAAAATTTTATGTGTGGGATAGAAAAAAAACAATTTTATTACGTATATAATTCAAATACATGTATAGAAATACAACGCCGTTTTTCCGGATCAATCTTCAATACCTTCAGGCAGAGTCTGTACTATTACTTTTCTTCTTGGCTCGTAAACAAAATTATTCGTTCTGAATATGTCACTCTCGTAAAACGAATGTAAATTATGTATGTCAATTTGCTTCGCCTGTAATCATAAAACACTAATGTTAGTATAAAATGCGCTTAATTTCCCACACAGGCACGTAAAAAATGAATGCAAGTTTATGTAAATCTTTATTAAATTAAGAAGATGTAGAGAAATGTAAGATAATATTCGTATGTAAACTATTTTTTTAAACTAATTAGAACAAGATAAAGTTTTATTTAGCCTAAACCATTTTAATTTAAATTTCCTAATTAGTTGCAGTTGTACTTGTTAAGTTTTGCCCCTTTTTTTCCTTTTAATATTATTTCTGAACGTATCAAATTTAATATAATAATGTAATTAGCATCACCCGTTCCAACAGATCCTTCTCAGAGATCTCGACGGTCGTGACATGTCCGCCGTGCAAAGCTTTTTGAAATGCCAAAGTGTCCAAAGTGATTTGTCGTAGTATGTAATACAAAAGTTCGCTGTGATCTTTCTTATACGATAGATATCTCTGGAATGTCTGTAACGAGATGTGTATTAAGATAGAAAGCAAAAATAAACAGGTTGAAAGTGCAAACGAACAAGAAATGAAGAGATACCTGACGCATAGATTTCATTACGGAGTATTTCTGCGTGTCGATAAAGCTATCGAGAACTATCCTGATGGCCAGGTTCATGTCACTCTCCTGAACGTGATCTCTCAGATGCATCTTGGCACTAGCCTCTGCCATACGAATAATGCTTTCTATGTGGCGAACGGTGATTGGCAAACTCCCAGTCGCCTAAAATATAATCAAATAAATATCTTTCACATTCAATAATATTTAATATTTTGTTAAATATTCTGAGATTATATATATATATATATATATATATATATAAACAGATGTATATTCTTTTCTGTTTTATTGACTTACCAAGCTTTCCTGTCTCAACTGGCTGTACAATTTTGCCACTTTGTCTTGATCGATGCTGGTCAACTTCGGATGCATATTCTGCTTCGCGTAAACAATATATTTTTTTAAAAGATCTTGTGGAATGCATAAATTTTGTGTTGCGGGATCTAATACTATGGCTTGCGTTTCTTCCGTTCTTTCTGAATTATCTGTCGGGTGATGCTTGATGTGCGAGTTTACAACAAATTTGGCCAAATGACGATCTTGCATGGGATCAATCTCATCCTTGACTATACACAATACGTCAAATCGCGAAAGAATTGGTTCCGATAGATCCACCTGTATGCAATTTAATACTTAATATATACATACTTATCATTTGATCCTATATGTTTGTAATTTTACTATTTTTAAGAAAGATTCCAATTTTATATATATATATAATATTATAAATCTATAATTTTTTATATTCTCTTCCATGAAATATCGCATATATTTTATATCTTAAAATTTCATTTACAAGTTACAATTTTGTGTAATCACAAATTTAAAAAATGCTAAAAGTACATACATTTTCTGCAAAGGTCATACTAGGGTCGTATCGGCCACCGATAGGATTAGACGCCGCTATCACTGCGCATCTGGCGTGAAGAGACGTAACGATACCGGCCTTCGAAATAGAAATACTCTGTTGCTCCATAGCTTCATGGATAGACGTTCTATCCTGATCATTCATCTAGAAAAAATTTGTGTTGTTTCTAATAACTATATTCATTAAATTTTGTAATATAAATTATACAGATCTATACATAGTTTTGATACTATATATTATATAAATCTAGTTTATATAGATATTAATATTAAAGCTATAAATATTAATTTCTCTTTTTCCTACTCCTTTTCTCTCTTTTTAGCAATAATTAATGATAACATGAAAGCACAATATTTATAATGTTATCAATGAGTGTAATTAGTCGTACAAATTATATAAATTTATACTTTGTCGAACTCATCGATGAGGCATATTCCGTGATCGGCTAGAACCAAAGCCCCAGCTTCCAAGGTCCATTCTCTGCTGATAGGTGATCTCCTAACGTAAGCAGTCAAACCAACGGCCGAAGCACCTTGACCTGTGGTGAAGACAACCCTCGGTGCTACCTTCTCCACGTATTTCAAAAATTGTGACTTAGCGGTGCCAGGATCTCCACACAGCAAGACGTTTATATCACCGCGAACTTTGTGCTTATTGCCTGCATGTTGCAATATGATGCAAATAATAGAAGGAAAAATGTGTAGAAGACTGATAAAACAATTCGAAGAAGAAATAAGTACCAGGATTCTTTGGCTCGCCACCAAATATTGCCAGAGCTAAAGCTCTCTTTATGTTTTCATGGCCGTAAATCGAAGGCGCGATACTTGCAACTATACGATCCGAAATGCGTTGATCTTTACTCAGAGCGAGTATACTTGAGATGTCTTCTTCCGTCAGAGAATCTACAATTTCTTTCGAATCTTTGACAAATAAATGATTAGCTAATAGTACTGTTGAGAATACTGGGAAGCCCTATAACATAAAATACAATAGATATAATCTTATCCGTGTAAAAAATAACTCTACTAAGATTTGTGGAACAGATAAATGTAATATGAAGAAACATAATTAATATATGTAACAAAACTTTGATCTCACCTGTTCAGTGTTCAAAGAACCATCATAATTATTGGTATAAATAGCTGTGACGTCTATCTCGTCCCCTGGTTTGCAACGATCACACAGATCGGATAGCAAAATGCAATCTTTGCTGCGCGGTATTCTGCCAGCGGGTATTCTACCCGGGGATTCTTGTATTGTTATTTTTTGATAATTTCTATATATAGTTTGCTCCATGTTGATCTAATACACGTGATACATCGTACATGAGTAAATGCAATAATTTTTAAATAATTAGATGTAATAATCAAACGCAGAATTTTTTTACTTACTGTAAATGGACCGGTACTCTGACATTCGGGACAAGAACCTGGTTTAACTTCTGTGGTTTGAGATTGAACGAACGGTCCAAGAATGTAGTTACATTTTGTACAGTCGTACTTCACCACCGACAATTGCGGCAGGACTCCCGTAGTTGCCGTTACTACTCCAAGAGTTCGAACCAATTGATTCAAGTGAAGTTTTCTATTGTAACAGAATAAAAACGACGTAATTTCATACATATTCTATTTGTATTGCTCAGTAAAACCATATTAGATGGATGATGTACATAATGTATTTTTACCTAAACGTGCGTAATTCTTCGATCAACGGCAATTCTGATATTCTTACGTGAATCTCCGACGTGACTCTCTCGTAACTAGGAAAAATCGTAAGCACCAATTCTTTCGCCACTTCATCAAATATCTCGAGCATTTGGAATGGCGCTTCTGGTAAAAAATAGGCCAAAACATGTTCCTTACTGGCGAGAATGGGAAATTCCACTATGAAACTGGACTATTAAAATAAACATAAAAACCTTCATAAAATAAAAAAAAATTAATATGTACAAAAATAAGATTTTATTTTATTAGAAATAAAAAATTTCATATGTATAATTATAAAGGATATTGTGCCATACAAGTCATAAAATAAAATATTTTATAATCTCAAGTATCATAACAAATAAAATATATATAAAGGTACTTTTTAAATTAAAGCTTATAAATTATATTATGATTATGTAGAAAATTCGATGTACCTGATTACTCTCACACATATGGCGAATACGTTCTTTATACATGTATTGTCCCTTGGAATTCGTATGAGTACGAAGAAAGCTTTTAAAGCGATTTGAAATTTCCGTTCGTGGCCCTAACATCATAACCCATTCCTTTACTGAGTGTCCCTTGGTATCCTCTAAATTTTCAATAGATTCGATCATCTAAAATAATCAATCGTTTTGTTTAAATTATAGATACTTTTTTATATGAAAATTGAAAGAATCTCTTACTTCTGTATCCTCTAATATACCAGTGGCAGCTTTTTCGGCCATACGTCGTTTACGTGCTTGTACATCTTCTTCATCAGTTTCGTCTAAAAGTATAAAGGAAAATATCTATATAAGGATACTTAATTTATAATACTTTTTTTGAAATTTTAGAAGTCAACAAAGTTAATTCAGTATATTTTATTTTTGAATATCAGTAAGTGATGAAATAAAGTTACCATAAAGAAGATCACGATCATCCCTTATGATACCAGCTGCACGATCTCTTTTTCGCATTTCTGTTTCTGCGGCTAAACGTTCGCCTTGAGACATTTCTGAGTATTCATCATCATCTAATAGATTGGGATCATATCTGTCCAATCCTGACATGGGCCGATAATCTCTGTTAAAAAAATATACAACTTTATAGACATCTTCAAGTATTTTCTCATTTACATAAAATAATTCAACAAGATATAAATTTCTTCTTATTAAAGTTTTTAACGCTTATCTATTAAATGTTAAATATATATTTATTCTTATTGTAAGTTACTATTTGTATACATTAAAATACTTTTAAAAAAATATTCTTACGCCTCCATATTATCTCCAAATAATTCTTCTCCTTCCTCTTCCTCATTTTCAATATTATCTTCATTAAGTAAATCAGATTCATCTTCAAATGGTTCGTTTATATCGGGTGCAGGAGAAGTTTGTTGGCTTAGATCAGTGTGTCGTTCAGAATGAGGAGAACTTGGTTGACTCTTACATACATAAAATTAAGTATTGCTTTAATTTTTTTTAAATTACAAATTTAATCAATCATATTCAATGCATGTATATGATAAGAATATATAACTACATGTAATTCTAAATACATTCTATATATATATATATATATATGTTTACACATGTATAATTTATAAAATTTATATATATATGATTTATGATTGCCAAACGTCTCCTTTATTCGCACATTTATGATTATATCATATTTACACGTTTTTATAGCATCCATATATATCTATATATAATATATGTCAGTAACAATACACAATACTTTAAAAATTTACCATGTTGCTGTTTATAATATATTATCGTCGTGAAAGAAATAGTGTTTCTATAAGATTTACGATTGTTTTCCTTCTTTCATAACAAAAGTGACAACACGGGAATTAATAGGAATCCAACCATAAAGCTATCTGCCATACAAGCCGTCAAGTAACACTTGGCCACACACTTCTTCAAAGTTCTTGCTGAAATTTCCAATAAATTGGCCCATACTTGGCGGGAATACTTCATAAAGAATTGTATCATAGAATGTCGATGACAAAGAAAGGTAAGCATGTCACTTGAATCCTAACCAATGAAATTTGTCCAATACTGACGAATCAGCGATCGAAATCCAGTCCCGACTTGTTCTTCATAAAGCCCATTCAGTGAGCAGTAATGAATTAAGGAATAGACGTAGAAATCAACAAATCACAGTCGAATGTGAGGAGGATAATTAATTATCATTAGTCGATTTCTACGCCTACTCTTTAATCCATTACTGCTACTGCCCATTGTAGAATGGGCTTAAGTTTGTTTTTTATTCCTTTACTATCTGTACACGGTGCAAATAAGTTGAAGTAAAATAAATATACTTTTATCTCGCTGCAACTTATTGCATTGCATGCACTAGTTCAAACAATGTAAAAATAAAGAACAGGCATCACAATAGATGCCAAGAACATAGTTTAAATTTTGTCACAAAAAAAATAAAGATTAAAAAAAATTTACGAAGATATTTAGTAATTTTTTTTTCTTCATGCATTAAAATTAGAGAAAGAAAATTCACATATTTCTCAAATATAAAAAGCATTAGAAAAAAAGATTAAAAATAATATATTTCATGTATTGTATTTTTTCAATAAAAATTCAAAATATTAATTTTAATATCACTGATTAAAATGAGAATTCATTTGTAACTGTTACAACTGCCTCTACTACATTTTTAACTGTTATAACTTCAATATTTTTTGTCACAATGTTTAATATACATACATACATACAAATTGTTTTATATTAAAACGTAATTTATTATAAAATATAAAACATCAATATTCAATGAATTTCACATTTTACATACATTGTAATTATCTATATTATATTTCATACAATTTTTATAAAATATTGTTATTCGAATAATTGAATATTCTTGTACGTTTAATCTTTTAATTATGAATTAAGTAGGAAGCATCAGACAAAAGTACAATTGTAAATCAGACTATGCGAAAATTAGGGAATGAAATAAAAATAAAAAATTAAATTGTATTCTAATCATTAATACCCGATGTACTGCTACCGCTTCTACTCGCACCATTAGAAAAGTTTAATTTCGTCATTTCCTCTATATAATCATCATCTGTAACAAGTTATACATTAGAATTCCATGCAAATTAAAATTGCCTAATTCTTTATACTACTATCATATGTGATATAATTATATTAAATATGTGGGGGGTATCATATTTTATTTGTATATATTATTTAATACAATAATTTATATCTTTTCTTCGTTGATCCATTACCTGACTCATTATCGCTCAACTGACGCGGCGAAAATTTACATCCCCGCGCTAAGTATTGCTTCAATTTGCCAACACTGGCTAAAATTAGACCGAGAAATGGTGGCGATGGTTTTAATGGCCTTGACAGATATTCAGGATGAAATTGAACAGCTACATAATAGCTGTGTCCTTCTAATTCGGCAATTTCCATTCGTATGTTTTCATCATCGTCGCGACCTATAAGAATATTGAATTATATGCTTCCTATTATCTTAATTATGTACAAACAAGATTGTTATATTTAATGAAAAAATTATAATTTTATCGGAAAATATACAGTCTAACTCACCTACGAATTTCAAACCAGCAGCTTCTAAATCATTGACAAAATCCGGATTTATCTCATACCTATGTCTGTGCCTTTCTTCAATAATTTCTTTATTATCGTACAATTTCTCTGAAAAATTGGAAGTTATAAATGAAAAAATATAGCGGTGTGTGGAAAAGGAAATTTAATTCAGTCTCCATAAAAAAATTCTATTGCTCACTTAGGATAGAATCACTGTTGTAAAATCGGGTTTGTCTTTTGCCCAGTCTCATCGTTCCGCCCATAATACCTTGAGTATGTTCTGGCATATCTATCACTACGGGACAGTGAGTCTCTGGATCGATTTCTGTAGAATTTGCTGTTTCAAGATGTAAAACATTTCGCGCAAATTCAATGACTGCCGCTTGTAAGCCCAAACAAATACCAAGGAACGGCTTGTCATTCAATCTGCACCACTCGCAAGCCCTTATTTTTCCATTCATTCCTCTCCTCCCGAATCCACCTGGTACAATAACACCGCTGGATACAACAAAAATACATTTTAATTTAATATAATCTTGTAAGATCAAAAATTGTGAGAATAATACACATCGAAAAGTAGATTATAAAAATATTATATTGAAAAAATATATATACTTACTTGCTTTTACAAAGCTGTTGCCATGCTTCATGATATAGGACTGGATTCTCAGATAGTGTAGTTTGTTCTAAATTAGCAGCTTCTATGAACTGTAACGATCCAATATTTATAAATATATATGATCATGCATGCATGATCATATATATTTATAATACATAGTACATGTATACATATAATCATAATAATTGCGACACTTTACTGTCAAGTTCAGTTTATATCCGGCTCCAATTGCAGCATGTTGCAACGCTTTTGTAACAGAAGCATAAGAGTCCTCGAGTTTCGTGTATTTACCCACTAGAGCGATGTTAACGTCTTTCCGCAGATGATCGACGCGTTCAGCTAGATCTCGCCATTTTCGCATAAAGCAACGCGGACGCGGAACTCCAATATTCAATTGCAACCGATCATTAAGGAACTCTATAACACGTTGATATTCCATAAGAAGTGGTACTCGATATATGGATGTTAAATCGTGAATTGTTATCACCTGATCGAGTAAAATATTAACATACGTTAATATTATCGTTAATGTTTTCATAACAATTGTAATATCAAAGTAGTTTTTATAGTTTACCTGCTCCGGGGCCACATGGCAGAAATTTGAAATTTTCTCCTTAACGGAATTACCAATAGGCTGTTCCGATCTACAAACTATCAGATCGGGTGACAAACCTAATCCTCGTAGCTCCCTAACGCTGGATTGTGTTGGCTTCGTTTTAGGTTCACCAGTTGATTTTGGCTAAAAAAAATCCAAGTAGAACACAAATCATTATAACATAAAAATGAAGTGAAAATGATTCCAAAATGTTAATGAAGTCACTTTTTAATTATAGATGTGATTCATTTTAACATAATTTTTATATCATTATGATTTGTTTTGGATATTCTATTATTGTAATTGTTCAGAAAAAATTATTTTCATAAAAATTATTCATGGAGTTTTGAAAAAATTATTTGTGCACTCATTGTGCATTTTTAGAAGAAACTTACATAAATATGTAAAGAAGCCCAAGACACAATGCGAGGGAATAGCGATAGCGATAAGTTTCAACTTATCAGAAATCGAATACACCGGAATACACATTTTTGATAGGTTGAAACTTATCGCTATCGCTATTCCCTCGCATTGTGTCTTGGGCTTAATAGTTACCTGTGGCACTAGGGACACATGCGCCACACAAAAATTTTCTTTTTTTACTCTAAATTGAAATTGCCTAAATGCTTCTACAAATGGCATTCCCTCTATATCCCCTATTGTACCTCCTAATTCCACTATGCAAACCTATAAAGGATTATTAATAGAAAATTAAAATATATAATCATATTATAAATTTATATATAAAAATATTATTCAAAGAATATCTATTATTTGAATTTATATTTGTACATCTTTGTGGAATTATCTAACTGTATATAATATAAATTCGAATTAACTATACTTCTGGTTTAGTTCCATCTTCTGTTACAGGCTGATTCGCGACTCTCTCCACCCATTCCTGAATAGCATCGGTAATATGTGGCACCACTAAAAAACAAGATATTCTTTTTTTATTAACTTATATAACTCAACGTATACATCAGCAATATAATATGAATAGACTTGTAACCTTGTACTGTTTTGCCTAAGTAATCTCCTCGTCTCTCCTTTGTAATAACATATTCATAAATTTTTCCAGTCGTTATATTATTGTCTCTATGAAGAGTGATGTCCAGGAAACGTTCGTAATTACCCAAGTCTAGATCCACCTCTCCGCCATCATCCAATACGTAAACTTCGCCTATTTAACATCAAGAAAATCGTTCCCTAGAATGCATGTTTACAGATAGGAAAATACCAAAGGGAAACAAAAGTGGATAAGCCTATCATGCAGTAATATAAGAATGTTTTTCCTTCAAGAAATTTTTGTACCTGACTGCGTCTCTGATTGAACAATGAACGGACGTATTATGTTTCACTGGATATTAGAGACCATAATTCTCAATAAGTGCGGCAAATATAACTTATTTAAGAATATAAGCGTTCATGATAATTAAATTTTAACAATAGTTTTATATCAAATTAACTATTTTGATCATTTGGATTGAATACATGATATTAAATGTTCCCTGTTTTGTTTACGGCGCAATTAAAACTACAATAAATAATTTATTGTTAATATAAACAATATTTTGTTTTAATCGTAATAAAGTAAATGATACCTAATTTTGTAAGAAATATTTTAATTAATTATAACGTAATCATGAATAAAATATGATTTTAAATGTAAACTTTGTACTTTCTAATGAAACTTTTTTTTATAAATTTTAATATGTAGACTTTTCATTGTATTTCCTTTCTTAGTTTTTCTTTTTTAAATTATATTTTTCATACTTTTTTTCCATTCAAAGATTAAATTATTTTATTTAATTGTACGAAAATATAATAATATTCTCCTTATATTGTAATCAATTTATGGCAATATTTAATTTTGCAGAAAATATTTAATTAATTGTAATATAAATAAAACATGATTTTAAATGTAAGCCTTATTCTTTATTTTTGATAATTGTAATTCTTTATACAAAAGAATTATTTAATCTAAACTTAAACAAATTAATTTTTCATTTCCTTTTTACAATGCAAAAGATAAAGATTATAAATTTAAAAAGTGTAATAACGTTTCATTAATTTAACATCAGCAATAATTCTATAGATTTTTTCCGATTCCAAAAATTTTTTATAAGAAATGATCGACCAACTGATTAATTTCATTGAACGTATATATTTATTAATTAACTTAACAATATTATTTGGCTAATATGGATTAGCTATTAATTTTCTGTTTTTTGATATATAAGAAAAAACGTAGATTAGACGATTTAATGAATAATTAGCTCATTGCCCTTATTTCATTATATTACTAGTTAAATACTTATTGAGCCTTATCATAAATATTTAGATTAGACGAGTTAGAAATTTTTTGGTGATCCTGCCGATTAAATTAATCGCTACATGATTAAGCTAATCAGAATTTAGTTTTACGTTCGTTCTATCACTGTAGATTATTTTCAATCTTGGTTTAATTTATATTTTATTTCTAATTAAAAAAAAACATTACTTTTTAGAGAGATAAAAAATGAGACCAAGATTTAGGGCGGAATCCATAAATGTTGCTCAAGACATCAGGAACCAATCGGAGAACCGTATTGAAGCTTAGGACATTGCTTGAGTCAGTCTTGAGATTAAGAACGGATTATGGATTCCGGTCTAAAATTATTCTATCCGTAGAAAGAAGTATAAGAATTGAAAAAAATAAAGAGCAAGTTAAACGCATTAAAATTAATCTACGTGTTGACAGAAATGGACTTTAATCACCTTAAAGTATTTTTACAAGTTGCAAACGAATCAAGTTCAAAATCAAGGTAGGTCATCGCACATGTTTGTATTTCTCTGCGGCGGAGCCATCTGGCCAGACTGTAATAATAGCTAATTGTAAGCAAGATGTAACGACACGACAGAAAATGGCGACGCGCTTAGCACATGGCTAGAAATTTTACCGCCACAGAAGAATTGCCACATTGTGGCATTCGGACAATTTTTTAGAGACTTTTATCACATAATCATATAATAAATTTTATTCGGACGACAAATTAATTCTTTTATGACCTCAATGAAGAAAAGATTGAAGGCGAATGGATGGGATTCGACGCCGGTGAATTTATTCGAATTTAACCTTCATGATATTTCTTTCGATATTTTTTCTTGAGAAATTTAATATATTAAATTTAATAAAATGTTGAACATTTTCAATAAATATATTATATTCCTGTCGTTTAAATGGAGAAATCGTAACGACAAACAAAAAAGAGAAGGTTTCAATTATTTCTACCGTCGTCGAAACGCTTCGAGATCGGCTGCGATTTTTCCGTATCGAACGGACATGAGCGAAATCGGCGAGATCAAAAATTCGACAAAAATCCCGCCAATATTCGTGACGTTGAAATCGTGCCTCTCACCATGCTCATAGGGTGAGAACGTTCCGGCGTCTATGTTAATGTAGGGATCGATTTTGATGGACGTCACGCGAATGTTGCAATGCTTGAGGATTGTGCCGAAAGAGCTGGCGATGACACCCTTGCCCACACCGCTAATCACACCTCCGGTCACTAAAATATACTTCATACTTGTCGAATTCACCCAGACTACGCGTGCACTACGCGAAAAAGACGAGAGATTCGTCCGCGCAAACGCGCGCGAAAATGTTCTAGTCTCTACGGTCCGGAGCGAACTAAAGTCAAGTTCAGTTACTGAACGAAGCGGACCGGACGGAATGCAGAACATCACTGTGTATGTAATATGTATATTAGATCTGTTTTTTCGTAGTTGTACCACTCTAGTCGTAGCCAGTTGTACTGTGCTATACTTTTGCTCCTAAAATGAGACAGATATAGAATTGACGTGGAAAAAAAGATAAACAGTGCTTAAAAGTTACGAGGAATGAACTTGAGATACCTGGCGTAATAGTAAAGACAATATTGAAAAGGTCTATCGCAAAAAATGTTACTTTGAAATCAAAATAGTAATATTTTATTCGAGAACTTTACATGTTTAATTTTATATAAATAATATGTATTAAGTGCATACATATATTATATATATACAAAATTGTACGTATATATATATATATATATATATATATAATGTAGATTGAATCCTTTATCTGATTTTTAAGTTTACTTTCAGAATATTTTTTAAAATAATCTTTATTCAATTATTCAATTTTTGTTTTAAAGAAAAATTGACTCAGAATTTTTCACTAAAATTTAAATTGCGAAGATATTGCGAGATGGACTATATCAATTTATTTTTCTCTTTCATATAATCTAGCAATATTTCATAAAATAATTTTAGAATAAATTTAATAATACAATTAAAAACATAAGCATATAAGGTAAATAATTATCAATTATCTTTGTTTTAAAACATAGATATAAAACAAATGTTAACATTCATATGATGAAATTTATTACATAGATAATTGCAGTTTTTCTGTGTGTGTTATATATATATATATATATACACACACACACATAGAAAAACTGCAAGGGACAAAAATTGTATATCTTTTTCTCGGGAGATACCCTGTGTATATGTGTGTATTTTCATATTTTAAAATGTAAGATTATGTAAAATGTTCAAATATTATGATGAGACTGTATAGATAATTCTTTGAATGTACATATTAAGAGAAAAAAGCATTTAAGAGATAGAATTTGAACTATGTTATCGCTTGACATTAGGATATATACAGACATATATACATACTAAAATAATTTAAAAAATACTTTTTCACTTCTTTAATATTGTTACAAGTTTAAAATAAAGTCTAAACACAAAATCTAGTAGATTTATTTAACAGCCATCTTAAATAATTGAATTTTATTTCTAATATGAGAAAACAATTTGCATTAGTGATACAAATCAAAGAAAAATATCGCTTGTATCTATTTTTATCTCCAGATATTTTTATCTCTATATACATATATACTACTTATCTCTTTCTATCCTCTATATACATAAAAATACATTATGCCCTCAAGTTTGAGAACTGTCTTCAACATAATGCTGCCAATTTTCGGACTGTGTTCAGATCACGAAGAAGCATCTGGATTGTCTGCTTAGTACGGGGTTGTACAAGCGGATCTGATACAAGTTCGTCCGGATCCATTGACTCTAGAGCTGTGCATTAAAATACATGTATTAACACCAATTTAATCTTAGAATACACATTAGTTCTGAAACAATAGGTGCAGTAAGCTTTAAGCTGAAAGATATTGTTAATCATAGTTGAATATAAGGAAAATAATTGAATAGATTTTTTTTACGATTTAAAAGGCTTACTATTGTTTCGCGGAATTAACAAACATATTTTTTAAAGAAATGCGTGTCATGTTTCTTTGTTTTATACGCATTAGTTTTTTATTACGCACCAAAAATTTGCGCTTCTATGGATGTTAATCTTGAATCAATGTGACATTGAAAATGCTCAATATGTTCCAACAATCGCATTCGGCATTCGGCTGGATCTATTGGCGCTTCGGGCTCTGGTATAAAAGGCTGTGGGAGTGCGGAGACTTCATTTTCGACAGTTATACTAGATTCTTGTTGGACGTTGTCAATAATAAGCGATCCAGAATTGAGATTCTCAGATACAGAATTATCAATAATAGTTTTGTCAGCTAATAAATCTGTACAAAAATATTATATATATGTATAATGTAGTTGTATTAGACAATAGTCTTATGTTAAAAATCTCTGTTAAAAATTTTAATCTATCAATTAAAAAATGGAGAATTAAATAACTTTTTTTTCTATTTTTCGACTGTATCACTGTACCTGCGTCTTCCGCTTTAATGTCTGATGTAGCAAAGTCCTTTTCCTTTGTATCTGAATTACTATTCGTTAGTGCATCTAAAAGTATATGGCTATCTTTTGAATTCATCAAGCCTTCTTTCTTATTGATAATTCTAGTTTCATCAGAATGTGTGCTGTCCTCTTCCAAAATTTTCATCAATTCCGAATCGGAAGCAATCGATTTTTCATCTTGATCATCCTTCGACAATTTAATATCAGCTTTTGTCTCGACACGTCGCGGAATTTCCGAAGTTGTATCAGTAAAACTTGCTGCTTTAGTTATTTCCATCACTGGTACTGGTTCCACATCTATTTTCGACACATCCGTTTTCTCCCAATTCTTGGCCCAAAGATACAATTTCGGATGATCTTTTTTTCTGTATAAATTTGAACAAATTAGTTATTATAGGGCAAACATAATTTTTCCAAATAGAAAAATATATAACTTACTGTGCTACGTTGATTTTTACACGCAGACTATGAAGAAGTTGTTGAATTTGTAAAAGTGCAGCAACCAAGTCATAAGAACGTTTCAACATTGCAGTTCTCTGATTGATCATATATTGATTCCGAATTCGATTAGGCAAGCTACAAATAAAAAATAGATTATTATATATAAATAATTATAATTACACTTAATTTAATCATAAACGTGAATAAACCACTTTATAATAATTTACCTTGGCAACTTTCCTTCCTTAATCCAGTCCTGATCGTGAAAGTATTTCTTAGATGGTCGTTGTCGATATGGATTTCGGCATATGTAACAAATGTATTTTTCAGGAACATCCTTTTCCTTTTCAATGAAATTACAATGACCATGTTGCCAGCAGAGACAAAGATCGCACTGTATCATCAAACCGTCCTCTTCCATAAAGCCACATGTGCAATTTATTATTTCTTCTCTCCGAAGTTGTTCTACTTTCACCAGTTCGCCATTGATCATCATCATCACTCCTTCACTCTCTGTGATAGGAAATCAACACATGTAATTATGTAAAATTTACATTAAAAAATTTTACAATAGAGATGTGTATATGATGGTGAGAGGTATATGCAAGTACTAATGTGTATTTCTTGCGAGCATATAAAATAAAATGTAACAAAAATAAAATTAGCAATATGTAAATCAATAAACAAACTTATAATAAAAGATTAAAAAAAAAAATAAACAATGTACCTTCTGCATCATTACTAATATCTGTTTTGATTGCATCCCCTTTAAGGGGATCAGCTTTATCAATACGTGAATCATTTAGTTGACCTAAGAAACAACAGAAATAATACAATAGTAAATATTATCCGATGTATCCTGCTTTAAAGAATCCCAAATACATTGTTGCATTAAATCAACGAAAAAAAGCATATCTAAAACAAAATAATTGCTTTCATAGCATATGTCTTTGTAAAGTACGGCAAAACGCTCGCACTTACTATTCTGGCTATTTTCGTCGCTCTTTGAGTCAGATTTTCTACGACTATATCTATACATAAGTGCCGTAGGTCCTTCGACGTCCATAGCACTGTCGTCTAGATCACCGAAACTATCGGTAAGATCTGACATACCTATCCAAAGGAATATTTAATGCTATGTATATTAGTCTTTCTTCGTAAATTAATGAAATATGTAAGAACTTGCCTTAGAGAAAACAAAATCTTTTACGAACGTGAAAGCTTCTTACCGTGTCGCTTCTTTGCTTTAATTGACAAGTCCACATGTTCAGCAGGTTGTCTTTTTTTCTGGTTTTTTACGCGTTCATTGTGCGTCATATCATCCAGAGATTTTGTCCTATCGGCTCTTTGTATCTCTGATGCTGCGACTGATCTTATAGGCAAAAGGGTTTTAATGCCTCCTTGAGCTTTTTCCTCTTTTGCTTTCATATCAAATAATGTACCAGGGGACAATGCGCCGACGTTCTCTCTTTTCTTTTCAATATCATCTATCTCTATACTGTGATTAGATATTGGTGACATTGTTTCAATTTTCATATCCTCCTTCTGCGAATCATTACATTTTGCTAACTGATCCATTTCCTCTTCTTCCGGCGTCACTGGACCAGGTATTGACGGAGTTGTCGGTTGCATACTACTCAATGTTGATTGCAATAAAGTAGATGATGATTTTTCAGGAAGAGATTTCTTTTTCGCAGATTTATTTATTTTCTCCAAAAATGTCGGTTTTTTGGGAATTATATCTTCTATAGATTCCCCAATCGTTCTTGCATAAGCTAAATCTTCAACTTTTGGGGTAGATCCCAGAAATTTGGAATATTCAGGATGATAATGTTTGATATGCATTTGCAGCAAATTTTCTTTTCGAAAATTTTTATTGCATCCTTCTTTGGGACATTTATAAGCATTATCCTCCATTTCTACACGAAGTCCACCACGAAGTCCAATAAAGACAGCTATTTGAAAAAATAATAAATAAATTACATAATAAAGTATTCCAAGATTTACAATTTATATATTAAAAAAAAAAAATAAATCTACTCAATTAACATAATTGTATAAATTTCCGCAATAAAGAAGATAAAGAAAAATTAATTCAGTTCTAAAAAAGCAAGAATATATAAGGTTATATTCGCTATATTTTATTTGAAGTACTTTAATTTTGCAAAAAAAAAAAAAAAAAATAATATCTACGAATATTTACAATAAATCATTTCTGATGAAGTAGTTTAGTAGTAGAATGTCAAAAAACATTGCAAAGAGAGAGAGAGAGAGAGAGAGAGAGAGAGAGAGAAGAGAGGGGGGAGAGAGAGATATTAAAATGTGATGTGCATTAAAACGTAATATGTATATTGCAATAATCTTACCACCATCCGTAGATGTCGTAGGCGTTGGGACGACAGGCGTA